TTTTCAGTTTTGGAGTCCCCAATTAAAGTGGCAGCCCTGTCAATGTATTCGCTCCCTATATCTTTGCATGGAGAGTTTTTCTTGATGTTGATTTGGACTATCAGGATAGCGTAGGATATCCCCTCCATTTTCGCCTCAACTTGAGAGCTTCTTTTGAGCTGGGGAGTTGATTTCAGAGAAAACCAGTGGCACCATCAGGTTTCTCGCGAACTTTTACGTAAGAATCAACAGTCAAATCGCAAATTCCTCACACATGCAACATCTCTATTACATGCATCTAGTGTTCGAAACTCACCTTCGAGTTTTAGGAGCCATGTGGCGCATCAATCCCGATTTTTAGGCGCCATTGATGATTTTTTAAGGGCCAAATTGACTTTATGCCTGTACATTACGGCACATTTAGTGAAAAGTTAGGCGCAAGATGTTTTCGTAACAGAACTAGTAAGTAGCTGTAACTTGGGGAAGACAGAAGCACTAAGAATGAAATGAAAGCCACTTGTAGTGGCTCACAATTCTGAGTTTTTTCAATTCAAATAGATTAGTTTTTCTTTCTTTGTGTGACTTCCTATGAAAATCCAGATTGTCAGGGGGCAATTTTTAGGGGCCACGTTGCCGCACAGCCTTTATTTTTTAGGCGCCATGACCGATTTTTTAGGCACATTTGACGCATCGGCGACTATGAGTTTCGAACACTGTTGGACATTCAATTTTTGACTAAAACCAAAAATTTTTATGCTTATTTCGTCACATTTTAAACTTTCAGGGATACCTCTTAAAGGAGATTTCACGAGGAAACCAATGAAACCACTTTCAGAACTTCAAAGTCTTGTAGAAATGCAGTTATGCGTTTAAAGTTTCGACATTTTGACCGCCCTCTACTATTGACACGATCCATTGTGCGGCCATTCTAGACGTTTAGTTCGTTGTTCTATGCCCTAGCCTCTCCTCCCTGAAACGTTATGTAATTTAAGGATGACCAGGATTACTCCATGACGTCTACATATGTAACGACACCGGTTTGTCCGGCGGGGAATTTAAGCCGGGGTCCGTTGAAGAAAAAGTCGAACATACTCGGCTGTACAGTTATGCTAGGGTATGCAAGGGCCTTTAATGACTAACGGGCGTCTGTTGACGCTGTTGATTCGGTTTCGTGTGAGTGAGCGCCGCGCGACGCATAGCTAAACTGGACGGGAACCAGAGACCGCTCCGGTTTCAGTGGGCTCGGATCCTCCGCGACTGAAACATGTGAGCAGACCGGTTAGGTGCTGACCGTTAGTGGCCGGGCTGGACGCTGGAGCAACACAGCACCGCAACGGAGTGGTGGACGGTGGCCGGTGAGTGGCGAGTGCTGCCATTGGCCGTGGCCGTGGCAAACCCGCGCCGCGTCACGGCCCAGCCGTGGTTGTCATCGCATGGCGCACGGAGACTGCCGTCCTAAAGAAAAACGCCGTATGAACCTTCAGAAGTTCCCGAATTTTCCATGACAAATCACGTATGTTCTAAAAAATTTGTGAATATTTTCCCTCCAACTTTTTAGAGGATTTTTTTTCTTACTTCGGCCTCCTGGTGGTTGAGGTGACCTGAGTTTGATGGTCTCAGACAATGATCACCTGGGGGTGGTGAGAATTAGCCAATAGGGGCTGTTTGAAGTTTCGTATAAAAAACAAAAAAACTGTCATCCTAAGTGTCTAAAAAGTTCGAAGAAAAATACCCACTTCCCTCTAAAGTTAATCTTTTTTGAGAGGAGATTTGGTAACATTTGGAGGCTCATGTTGCGTTTTTCCTTGGTACGCCAGGAGACGATATGGGCCGAGTTTTAGGGCCGTATTTAAAGTCTTTCTTAAAACCGGTCCGTTTTTCATGAAATAATTTTGGATTTTGGGGGACACAAATCTATGTTAAGGCTTTCGAGTAAGAGTTTTTTTCTCTAAAAATTTGAAAATATTAGTGATGTTTTTTTTTCAAAACGCAGGAAAATGATAAAAATTTGCAGCATCATGCAACAGTGGAACGATTCAATTTTTACTGAACCAAAAGTTGCATTTTTACCGATAAGCAACACCATGCCATGGTTTAAGGGGATCTTTAACATAGTGTCGTGATGGATCACTTTTACTTATTTAAGGTTTTTCATTTTTTTGTGGAAGCAAATCATTTTAAGTCCTTGTATTGTAATGGTGTATTTAAAAATGTGTTGAATTCAATTATAACTTTTGAAGTACACCTTACAAAGACTCACGTCGATTTGCTCCTGCATAAAAATAAAAAATACAAATAAGTTTTCGTTAGGCACGGTAACACTGCTTGATTTTTCATCTTGTCGATGTTTTACATTCAGAGAAAATGCAGGTCACTACTAAAAGTTTTGGTCCCTCAAAATGACTTTAGCGTCTACATTGTTTGTATTACTTGGAAGAACAACTGGTTAAATATTTTACCTGCAACTTTTCAAGTGTAATCGTTCCTATCGACATTTCAACATTTCGATATTTTTAAAATTTTCGTTCTATGACATTACAACCGTGCATTTCTGTGAGTACTTAACCGTCACCATGCTCGGTGCATCATACCGTTGTCGCACACTATACCAGTTGCATATTTGTTCATTTTACTTCACCGTGTGACATCATTCCGTCGTCACACGATAGCTGCGCTTTGTGTATTTGACCGTTACATGCCAGTTGCACCGCTGCTTCATTGCATGCGTGTGCTTGTAATGTCATTAAGCATTCATTAACAGCCTTCATGTAAGTGCATTCGAATGTGGTATCATCAACCACTTATCGCGGTGTGATAGTCGTGGTCAAGATATGAATTCTGTTTGAAAATTATTCAAATTATCCTTTGATGCGTCAAGTTTTAAAGTATGAAGTGTTTTATGTCTTAATAAAATCTCCCCGGGGAACCCAAAAAGAGGCAAAAATGTCCTTCTTTAAACCAAAGGCCTGTATCATCATGGAATTTTATTTTAGTGACATATCAATCAAATATCACAATTCCCCGATGAGTAGCTAAAAGGCTCTTTTTTGAACCTCCATTGCACTCGAACTAGACAGTTGACCAGAGGCTTGTATCACCGTGGCGTTTCATTTTAAACACATGTTAATAAAATCATCCACGTTTCCCAAGAGGAAGCAAAAAATCCCCTCTTTTGAACCATGTTTTAACCCGAGCTGAAACGTTTCATTGACCCACGACAACTATGCTCGGCTAAGTTGGGAGCTTTATATTTCCAGAATTTTTGGGGAGCAGGCCAAAATACGGTGTCACCGTAATTGCGTAAATGTTTACGTCTGTTCGAAAAACCTAAAATATATCCTTCTACCTAGCGAACCTATAGAGTGGTGATTTTAACGTAATGGCGGTTTGCCTTCAATGTTTAGTATATAATAAGCAAGCGTTCTCACGTGGTCACATGGTGGCATCTCCGTGGAATGACAAACTTATTCGGAACATACACAAAAAAGTTGTTTTTACAGATCGGAAAAAGGTTACTTTCAAGCGATATCAGTTCGCCTTCAATTTTTAGTGTAGGCAAGACGCGCTCTCACGTGGTCGAATAGTGGTATCACAGTGCAATGACAATCATACTCAGAACACACACGAAAGATAATACTTATCGGGCGGAGAAAGGTCTCTTTAAAGGCATGTAATTTCGCCTTCAAATTTTAGTGTAGGCAAGATGCGCTCTCGCATGGTCGAATAGTGGTATCACCGTAAAATGGCAAACTTACACTGAAAAAACGAGATTAGGGCTGGGCCCTAGAATTGCTTCACCTCCACCGCCACAGGGGCAGGCCCTCCGTGGGTAAGGCCCAGCCCTACCTGGACAGGGTCTACCTCTTACCAGGTAGGGCTGAACCCTGAAGCAGGTAGATTTGGGCTCTACGCGCGCCGGGCCTGCCCCTATGGCGGTGGAGGTGAAGCAATTTTACCTACCCAGTTAGGGCTGGGACCTTCGGTGCAGGTGCCAGCTCTAAACTCGCTTTTTCCGTGTACTCAATTAAATCCCAGACTCTGGTGGAAGGACGAAAATGCCAACTTTTTTAAAGGCTCCTAGATACATTTACATGCTCACCGTTGATTATTTTTGTCCCTACTGCCGTGCTGAGGAATAACGCCGTATGAGCCTTCAGGCGTTGCCAAATTTCCTTTGATAAAACACAAATCCACTGGTAAACTTATTACTATTTTTCCTCCAATTTTTCAGATAATTTTGTTCGTAAGTTCCCATAGAATTCCCGAAAATTTGAAGGAAAAATTTTCATAACCTCCCTAAAAAATAGGGAATTTGGCAAAATTTGAATGCTCATACGGCGTTTTTCCTTACCTAGTTGTATGCTGCCTTGCTAAGGCGGAACGCTGTATGAACATTCGAGAGTTGCCAAATTCCCTTCGATTAAATGCCTATTTTTAAGGAAATTTATGAATATTTTTCTTTGAAATTTCCAGGAGCTTTAGGTGAAATTGCAAGAAAAATCATCCGGAAAATTGGGATAAAAATGCTCATAAGTTTACCAGGAAATTTTTGATTTATCAAAGGAAAGTTGGCAACACCTGAAGGCTCATACGGCGTTTTTCCTTAGCGCAGCAGCACAGTTCTGAAAACAAATTTCCAAGAATCCAAGAAGGACCCGGCAACACGGACGCTCCCCACAACGGTGGACGCCATCGAGCAGGGGAAAATCTCGAGATTCCTGGCAGCCCTACGTATCGGAAACGTATCGATTATGTGGCATTGTGATTTTTCCGCGGCGGAACGCCGCGGCGGTGGAACGCCGTGACAGGTTTTAATTTCATCAGGACATATTTTAATGAAACGCCAAGCCGAGGAGCCCCAGAGCCCGGCGAAAGAAGCGTTGACAGCGACAGTGGGGTCCCGTTAACTACACACCAGATATGAATGAATCGCGGTTGGGTTTCAATTCCGCTCCCCCCTCCCCTTTTCATAATCCCCCACTCGACCAGTCCTCAGTACAGCTGATTCCGTTCGGGCCTCGCTCGGTCCGCGCCTGCGCCGAGCAGTAAGTTAGTAGGCCAGGAAGGTATTTACTGAGTCGACCCTCAGTGCGCCACGCCGCGTCGCGAAGATTTTTTCAACCGAGTCCAGTGCACTTTTTTCCCTCCCAGTTGTGTGTTCGCGCGGTTTTTTGCCCCCCTCGCATTTCGCTCTTATACGTTACGTCGCGTGCTCGAGTCGATTCTTACAGTGCAAAGTGAGTGCAAGTGTTCGAAATCCGCGAACTGATAACGATTGACAGTGTGTGTGTGATTTTTTTTTTCTTTTTCGTGTATCCTTTCCGAGAGCCGGCTTGACGCTCGACGGATCGACACAAAATGAAAATAACTTACAGGACATACTGTAAATTTAAGCAGTGAAAGATAGCAACGAGGTCCTGTCGTTTTTGCTATCCTCGCGTTAAAGTCTCTCGGTGATGCAGTTCCGGTTTCTTTGATTGTGCTGAACTAGCTTCAGCGAGCGATTTCTCTGGATTAAAACCGATTTATCTTCGCCCCGGATTTCCCATCTAACTAAAAATTGGTGAGTTTTGTCAAATTTTCTATTTTGTAAGGGTTTTGAGGATGGTTACGTGCTGGCTTATTCATGACACAAAATAAAAATAACTAACAGGATGTACTGTAAAAAGCAGTGAACGATAGCAACAGTCAAAGTCCTGTTGTTTTTCTATCCTTGCGTTGAAGTCTCTCGGTGATGGTGTTACGGTTTCTTTGATTGTCCTAAGCTATCTTCAGCGACAAATTTCTTTAGATCAAAACCGGTTTATTGTCACACAGGATTTCCATATAAACTCAAAATTGGTAGATTTTATGAATTCCCTTTTTCGTAGGAGTTTGAAGAACGGTTTCATGTTGGCTTATTCTTCATGCAAAATTCCTTACCTTTTTTTTCTTTCAATCTCTCTCTAAAGCATTTACTTCATCTACTGCATTGTTAATTCTCCAATTTTTATAATGACTTTTCAATGAAATCAGTCATGCTGAAGAGAGATTTTTTGAACCGGATTCATTCATAATATTTAATTTTATCTTGGTGGAAAAGGTCGATCATGTCTTAGAGTTAAAAGTGAAACGATGATTTCTAAATCTACGGAACGAGGTGATATTATGATTTCATATTGTCACATAAAAAAATAAGAATAAAAATTCTGCTTCATTTTAGTACACCCAACAAAGTTGAGCTTCATAGTGTAAACAACTTATTGAAGATCTCGCTTTGAATGCTTGTGGCTGAAGATAAAGGCTAGGTATGTGTCATAGACTTTTTAACTTTCACGAAAACAGTGAGCACGGTTTTCATAAAGCTAGTAGGCCAAAATAAACAAACCAAAGGCTATAGGATTGTAAGTCTTCCCTTTTTTTGTCTTTTCTCCGTGATGATTCAAAATTGTTTCAACTTAGAAAATGGAATACATCCAGTTAATCCTGAACTCATTTCTCCATACATGACCAACAACATTTTCAATCCACGTGATTTTGAAACTTATCCCCGGATGAAAAAATATCAATTAACCCATACACAAATGAATGAAGAAAAATAAACAACGGAGGAATAAAACCAAGCAACTACTCAACAGCGTGCACCTGAAAGTCAAGGACATTACGGATGACACTAGCCTCAGTAGGTAACGGTGTTAGACCACTCTAAAATCCTGAGTTTTCAATGCATTAAAAGTTATGAGCCTCGATCAATAAAGTGTCTCGTTTCGCTTAGGAACGTTTAAACGATGTAAGGCAGACGATGCTTCAATAAAAAATTACAAGTATTTTTCTTAATTCATGAGTAAGTTGAGTGGTCCTATTTTGGGAAACGATATGTCCATTATCGTAATTAAACGCTTTTATGACCCTTTTCGGGGACCTAAATGCACTTATCTAGTTTAAATAAAGCACTGCAATATAGATTTGACTGTGCCATGCGATTTGTATTTTACTAGAGTTGTAAATTTCTACGTAAAATGGAACTAAATACTTCTTCTTCACGCATTCTTTCTTCTGTAAAATGCATACCTTGGACCATACACAGAAAAAACGATATAGTGCTGAGCACTAACTGTTTAGATCGAATGGAGCCGACTGATATGCCAGCACTGCTGAGACCTACAGTCTGTAGGGCTGGACCTTAAAGTTTTAAGGCTCAGCAATACTGCCATACTAGCTGGCTTCATTTGATCTAGACGGTTAGTGCTCAGAACTATATATCATTTTTACTATCGTTTTTTCCGTTCAAAGTCATTCATAGTATGCCGAACAAAGGATACTCGAAAACAGTGTTCGAGACTCACCTTTGAGTTTTAGGAGGCATGTGGCGCATAAAACCCGATTTTTAGGCGCCATTGAAGATTTTTTAGGGGCCAAATTGACTTTTTGCCTATATATTACGGCGCATATAGTGGAAAGTTAGACGTAAGACGTTTTTGGAACAGAACCAGTAAGTAGCTGTAACTGGGGAAGACAAAAGTACCAAGAATGAAATCGTGAAGAATAGAAAAAGCTTTCACGTGTAGTGCGCTGAAAATTCTGAGTTTTTTAATTCAAATAGGGTTGTTTCTCAATCTTTTTGTGACTTTCTATGAAAATCCAGAATTTTAGGGGGCAATTTTTAGGGGCCACGTTGGCGCAGAGCCTTTATTTTTTAGGAGCCATGGCCGATTTCTTAGGCGTATTTGGCGCTTTGGCGCATGTGAGTTACGAACACTGCTCGTAAATAATACAGATCAAAATAACCAACGAAAATATCTAAGAGTGTATTTTGATGCATTCTGACTGAAGACGAAGGAATCGAACCAACGCGGCAACGCGGGGACGTGTGTTCGATACACGCATAACTGTACCGGTATTCGTCTCTGTATGAGACGCAAACCGCGGGGCATTCCTACTCTTGAAGCGCGTGGTCTCAAAAAATCTGTTTGTTCTTCCTCAGGAGTCACGCGACAGCGTTGTCTGGGCAGTGCGATCGTAATTCCATGCATCCTGTGCCCACGGTTTCCTCTTTTTTGCCCCCAAAAACGTGACATAGTAAAAAAACTCTATTTTTTTCCATGTTCATCGTTCAAAGATGACGAGGCATTCCCCTGTCTGACAGCAGGCAGCAATGATGCGTGCAACATCCAATGAAGGAACGTATAGTTTGTGCGTGGTGTACGTCCGATCGCATCAAAATCATGAGCAAAATTCTCGCAAATAGGGGCTTTTAAGAATGTTCTGGACTTCTGAAGGATTTAATTAGAGCAGCATGTTAATCAATTGACAGGAAAAAGCTATGCAACCAAGAAAAATATGCTAAAATATGTTAAAAATATACACCCAAAATTTAGGTAAAAATATCTCAGCGCATCAGTTCGTTAATGAAAATTTGAAATACTCTCATCTTCATACAAGCGCACTGATTTCAAATTCTACCTCCTGCTTCCAACCCCCATCATTTTATTTTCTTTTTTTTTCCGAAAAAGTTTGATTCCTTTTTTAAACGTTGATCTTCTTGTAAAGTATTAATATTTTCTTTTCATTTATTGAAGCTAAAATTTTGCTCGTGTGCTGACCATGCAGATTTCCAATGACATATATCAACGTGCTTTGTGTGGGGTTTCATGAGGTAAAACAAATGCATTGTGTACTAAGTGAATGAACTGGTAGAATCAATACGCGTATTATAAGTCTGCATTGCATGTTTTCCAGTCAAAACTTAACAAAGTATGCAATTCGCGCGCCACGATTCAGATGTCAACACCGAGTGTGGTAGAAGTATATTAACCTTAAAAATATGGTATTGTCACCACACAGTTTACAATCCGCCTCCCGATTAGTCTTTTCCAAAGAGCTAATGCCCCGGACAGGGTTTGATACCTGCATTCGTCATTGCACGAATCGTTTTCTGCGTAAATATTGAGGTAAAAACAACACCTTGATTTTACATGTTTTTACAACAACACTTTGTTTCCACATGTTTTTACCAACCGATCCTCGAATCACGTTCAAGGATTGAGTTCAAGGAACTTTCTTAACTTTAAGAGGAACTAATAAGGATAACTTTCTGAAGGGAACTACCGTAGAGCTCATATTATTCCGCGCCTCCATTATACCCGATTCGGATTATCCCCGCTATTTAATTTGGAAAAGCTGAAAAGAAGGAAATTCCTAATTATTCTACTTTTCATTGCCTTTCTTTACTAAGAATCAAAAATCTATCACAACAAACGCGTTCCCGCAGATTACTCGATTGACTTTGGAGGCTATATATTTACATGTTGAACCAATCGATATCGATGCAATCTCCCCTGTTTGATATCGACTGCGATCCATTTAGTTATCTCGGAGTGGAGTCCCTTTATACCCAGAGTTCCGACATCTCAATTTTGTTCGGGCTGAAAGTGGCCTAAAAAAATCCAATTCTGATTGGTTCTCGCTCATAGAGTCACAAAAGTGTGCACCAAGATGGCGGTGGCTTGAATGTGAACGAAAATAATGAAAATATTACCTAATTTTGGTTTATCAAAAGTAAATTGTTATTTCCATCGGTAAAAAATGAAAATAGATTACAAAATTATTAACAAACCATTCTCATATTATTTTTATTTGATCAGTTCTGTTGATGCTGTTGTTTTTGGATTACAGACATCGCAGGATTCCTTATCCTTATCCCTCAATATCGTTCGTTTGGGTGCACACTTTTGTGACACCATTGACAGCCCAGGCCAGCTGATAATCGAGATGTCTTAACTCTGGGTATAAAGGAACTCTATCTCGGAGAGTACGCTCGGTATTTTCAAATGGACCACTAGACAAGGTACGAATTTAAGCGATCTGATACATGTTTCTTAACCAGAATTTCACGTGAAAAACGATTCACACAACAAAAATTACGGAAACCAACTCCTAACGAAGATATTAACGTTTTTATTTCACATTGGTCACGAGGAATTTGAACTGCCCGCTCACAAGAAACTCAAAACTCTACGTGAGTCAAATCGCCCACTACAACGGTTTCAGCAAGCTTCTCAATCGAGCAATGTTCATTTCCCATCATGTGTTGTTCAAACTATTAGCAATTTGCTATAACTGAGCCAAAGCGTCAAGATTAAGGTTGCCAGATTTTTATATCGCAGAGACTGTCATGATAACGTTTAGCGCGCGATGTGAATCACGTAGAGCATTGTGTTTTCATGAGCGGGTGGTTTGAATTCACGCATTAAGAATCATTAAATATCTTCGTAAGGAGTTAATTTCGGTAATTTTCGTTGTGTGCATCGTGTTTTACGTAAAATTTTGGTTCAGAAACATGTATCAGAATGCTGAAATTCGTACCTTATCTAGTGGTCCATTGTTCGCCGAATTTCGTTTTCGACTCAATGGATCCATCATGAATTTTGTCCACGTCTTGGGTATTGGGACACCGGCCGGACGGGGGCAAAGATTGACAGGAGGCAGTGCGATTTGGACGCGGAAGCACAGAGTGATTTTGCAGGTCACGGCCGCGGAGTAATTGGCAGCGCCACTATTCATCACTCCACATAAGTTTCGTTT